TCTCTCTCTTCTCTCTCTCCTCCTGCTTTATCTATTTCTCTCTCTTTCCTCCTGCTTTTCTCTCTTTTTTTCTCTCTCTCCCAATGCTTCTCTCTCTCTCTCTCTCTCTCTCCTGCTTTTCTCTCTTTCTCTCTCTCTTTCCCCTGCTTCTCGCTCTCTCTCTCTTTCTCTCTCTCCTCTTTCCGCCCCCCCTTCTCTCTTTTCTATTCTTTCTGCTTCTCTCTCCTCTGGCCTTCCCCCTCTTACATATTCTCCCCTCCCCTCTCTTTCTGATTGCCATCTTCGAATATTCTCCTTTATTTTTTCTCGCTCTCTCTCATATTCTCGTCTTTGGTTCTTTGTTTATTCTCTTCATGTGGATATCTTTAGCCCTTATTCTTATTTATTTATTCGCAAAATTCTGGTTCCTTTTTACTTCCTATTTTCTCTTATTCCTCTCCTTGGTTCCTTGGTAGTTCCTCTCTTTTGCGTATTCTTTCTTTCTTTCTCTAATTCTCATCTTCGGTTCCCCGGCGATACTCCTTCCTTTAATATTCTTTTTTATTTTATCTTTTTCCTCTCTTTGGGTCTTTGGTGGAATTCTCCTTCTTTTCTGCATTTCTTCTTAATTCCTCTTATTCCTCTCTTTGCTCCCCACCTTCGATTGCCTTTCATCCTCCTCCTCCTTCTTCTCCCTTTCTCTCTATTTCCATTCCCTCGTTTCCTAACTCTTCTCTCCCCTTCCCTCTTTCGCACCTCTGTTTCTTATTCTTTCTTCTGTTTCTTCTCTTTTTCACTCTTCCTCTTCTCCTTCTTTTCTTCTCTTTATCACTCTTCCTCTTCTCCTTCTTTTCTTCTCTTTATCACTCTTCCTTTTCTCCTTATCTTTCCTTCTCCTTAATTTTCCTCCTCCTTCTTCGCTCTTCCTTCATACGCTCTCATCTTCACTTTTCCCTTCCTCTTCTAATCTTTCTTCTTCATCTTCTCTATCCCTTCTACCCTTCTGTCTTTCTCATTCCCAATTTTCTATGCTCTTTGATTCTTCTCTTTGGTTTCTTGTTCTCATTCTACCTCTTTACAAATTCTCTTTTTTCCCCTCTTATTCTTCTCTTTGTTTTCATTCTTTCTACTTTCGATTGCCTGACGATGTGGCCTTATTCTTTATTTTCCATTTATGTAATTATAAGAT